CCAGGAACAATTTATTACCTGGTGGAATTCAAAAACTATTTAATGAAAGGGAAGGGGGATACAATTTAAGGGGTCGGTTAAATTTAAAAATTCATGTTATACGTACAACCAAAAAAAGATTTTGTATTTCCATAAGTGGGGTAAAACTATGGAATAATTTAAGTGCGAACATAAAAAATAGTAATAGAATTGACAAGTTTAAACATAAATATAAAGGTATGTGTCAATCAAGATATATGCAAGAACAGGCTTAATGATTAACCAGATGGAACATTGTGGGTGTGGTGTATGAATGTTAACACTTTGTTATAATTCTTTAGTATATTACTTGTGTGGTGTAGAAGAGAAGTATCTATGTAGAGATACTGTTCACAAACCAATGATGGTAAGATGATGTCATGGGGTAGGACTGGATAAGTCTGACTTCTTCCTACTCCATTCAAGCATGTACTAGGTATAAGCAAATTGATATTGGATTAGCATTTGTTGGATATGTGTAAAATTATGTGTGTTGATATATCAACTGTCTTTACATGCTTGAAAGAATAAATAAATCAAATCAAATCAAAACAAGCCTGTGTGTGTTTAGTGTTTGCATGGTTTTCTGTCTCATGTGTGTATATCCACAGTTTTTAATGTTTCCTATACATGTGTTCAGTGCAAACCAATTTATTAGAGAAAATACATTTTCCTATATTTTTGTGCATTTTTGTGTTACTATTTCAAGTATTTTATTAAATTAATTGGCGTGGGACAGATGCTTGTTGTGTCATGGCTAATTGATTCCTATAATTGAACCTTTTATAAAACTACTGAACACAATCATGAAATTACATCTGAATAGCTACTGAGCCTTGAAAAACAATCTGAGAAGCCGAGCGTCTGTGTTGCTTTTTATCGGTGTGAATGGCATTTGGATTCACATTCCCAGCTTAAGTCTCTCTGTCTCCATCTCCCTTGTTCTCTTGCTCTTCTACTACGTGACACTGTAATATTGGATTGACCTTATAGGCTGCAGAGATCGGGAAATCATTAGCTCTGATCAGCCGCAGACTTGCTGCTCAGGACTCCTGTACTAAGCCACTGCCCTCAGACAGATCATATAGCATTGATAGAAACCAGCTTTGCCTACATGACATCCTTGGTGGCGATAAAGATGTCAGCAATGCCAATAAGAGACAGGCCATTAGAAGCTCTTGTGTTTGCTGTGTGTGTGTGTGTAGGTGTGGGATTAGGAAGACTACTATAGTATGGGCTCTTAGGGATCATTTAAACATGCGACTATAAAATAAAAAAGCAAAAGAATCATGATGACATGCAAAATATGTGGCATAAACACATCCCATGTGAGGCAGAATAAAGGTCAAAAATAAGGTACATTTAAAACAGTGTAGATATATATTTGGGAGGGGAATTAAATATTACAAAGATAATCATAATAAATGAATGTGCAACTTTAGGAATATCAGCAAGATATGGATCTGCAGTATTTGAAACATACAAATGAATTAGTTTGACAACAGTCCAATTACATCTTCGACATATGACATTTGGACAGAAGTAACAATATAACTTCAATAATAATCCCTGCTAAATTATACTTTCATGGATGCAAGTCTTTTGTAAGGCCAGGTCACATTTTTCATTTGGTCGATATCTCATTTTGGTGCACAACTCTTGACTCTTTCTAATTCTCAGCTGACTATTTCCCTCTTCAACAGGCATGATCACAGGTAACGGATCAAGCTGAGAGGGTTTATTGTTTTTCAATAGCTGCCCCCCGGCATAGTACTGAAGCCATGGATTTTAAATGACCACAGAAGGTATTGATCGTCATAAGGCAGTGTTTTTGTTGTGAAATAACCATGACAGGAAACCCGATTAAAGGTCCTGACCTTTTTCTATCATTCCACCTTCACTGGGTTGTGTGAAAGCATTCCAGCAGAGTGGGGTTTACTGAGGGAAAGAAAATACTGTACATGTCACTTAATGTTCGATTGGAAAAGTGCCTTCACATTATTGAGTGTTATAAATGGCAGAAGAGGCTTTTATGAAAGGTTTGTCCCCAGCCAGCTCCCATACGAACAGGCTCCTAGGTTAGAATGATCACTTTCCTGAAGGCCTGGAGTCAAGGCAGGCAGCGAGACACTGATTATAGATTGAATTTATGACTGCTTTCCACTGGTCTCTGAACATTTCTTCTGCTTGCATGATGAAGCAAATTTCTCACTCTTTAAAGCTTCTATTTACTCTGCTTCTCGCCATTCATGTGGGAAATAGTTTTTCTCATTAGCCATGGACGGTGTGTTCTGAGTTCTTTATATTGTCTGTGAATAAGTCTCCCATTTCGAAAGATGCAAAGGCAGCCACCCCACTGCTCCCACGAACCAAACCGTGACAACAAATGAAACAAATATAAGTGAAAATTCATGCTCTCCAATGACAGCGGGGAAATCATGCTCTCTTACAATGTCTGTGCCGCCCTCCCTCCCTCCTTCTCACTCCATGTACCATCAAGGTACATAAAGAGAGAGGGAGCAGCAGACCTCCAAGGCTGTTCAAGCACAAGTATGGAATATAACAAGCCTCAGCACACATCACTGGTAAACAGTTGACACAAGTACAATTTATTGTCCCTGTGGCCAAACCCAGGCAGCCAGCATCCTCCCTATTACCCCTTAACTCTCTCATCTCTCTTTCTCTGTGCTTTTGTTTTCAGGCTACAGTGTGGCCTTTCAAGCTTCATGTTCTTCATGTTGGCTCTGTATGTATGTGTGTGGGTGTGTATGGGTGTGAGAGGAGAATACTTTTAGCATCTGAGAGCTTCTTTAAAAAAAAAAAAAGAAACGCAGCAAGAAAGGTCTACTTCTTCTGCATTCTCCCTCCCACTCTCTCTTATTCTCCCACTCTCTATGTTAGCAGCATAACCCTTATTACCATCCTAATTGGATCATCCAATGTTCCTTTGAGCCAGCTGAGCAGACCTAGTGACCCACAATCCCTCAGTCCTGTTTTACCTCATTGCATAGTTATCACGTCTAGCTGACGAGCAAGTTTCTGATAGCATATTACGGCCTCACAGGAAATAAAAAGGTCTGCAGAGATCTGTATCTAAAAACAGCTAAGTCATACATATGTCTTCCTGAGAGGAAGATAAAGTATCAAATAATTCTTTTCTTTAGGCAAGATAATTTTAAGGTTTTTAATCTAAGACAAAAAGCAACCACTGGTCTTTTCAAATAAAATGTAATGGCGTCCGCTTATCAGTATTCCTGCCAGTGATCTTCACTCGACAAAGTGGCAGTCTGGGTTGAATGCACTGCAATACCGGAGAGATAAGTGAGTAATGTTGCAGATAGCACTGTTCTCACCTTTAGATAATTTTGCATGTAGAGTGTTGAATGATTGCTGATCATCGAACCGCTTTACAGTTGATCTGAATCTCATCAGCACTTAACCTCATTGTTCCTGGAACAGAGGTGAGAGGAATGTCAATTGGAGTGTGTCTTTTGGTCTCTGGCACCATTTCAGCTCTCTCTCTCTCTGCCTCCCTTTGCCATTCACTCACACTTAACGCACACACACGAGGATATGTACTGCATGCGCGCACACAAGAGAACGCATTCAGTGCTCTCTGTCCCTCTCACAAATAAACACCAACACATGAAGCGTTCAGTTTTCTCCACACAAACAGGTTCACACAATATCCAGACTCGGTGGATGTCTATGGTACAGAGCAGACAGAGAACCCATGAAAAATGCATGTCCCTTTGCGTGCTTCATAAGAAACACTCATCGGGATTCCATTCCCATCTCGGCTGAAATACCACACAGGAATCTCAATTAGACTGGCAATTTGGGTGGCAGTGTCGGCAGGAATGGCACTGAACGAGAATATGGGGTTCACACTGTCATCTTAATGAGAGGGTCACTGTCTCCTGCAGCTCTAGGTCCAGATTATAAAATACATGTTGGCCTAAATGTGATAGGAATGCTATTGAGTACAGTGGTGGAATGGTGATTGGCTGACGAGCCAACAAGGCTCTGTAAAAGTACAATAACTTGGTGAGGCAAAGTGGACTGACAGCTGACCTGAGGTGCTCTAGGGCTCATAATCATGAGGGTGAGACTATTATACTGAGGTGCTTTACAACTAACAAGTTGTCTAGGATTCCACGTTTCCTGTAAATATTTTATTCAAAACTAAATATTTAACAACCTTTTTGACGTTTTCATTTTTAACTTATCTGCCTCAAACTACACAGCGCGGATCAACCCTCGTTTTTCCTCATTTGTCAATATGATTGTACGAAACTGGGTCGTGATTTCTATATTTTTTTTTTCCCAGTACCATTCTGCTCCAACTTTTAGCACTTTACTGTAGTTACCTACTCCTCGGTTAGCAGGGAGAACAGCTCTTTGATACAACCCAAAGGAGGTGACAAGAAACAGCAGTAGTTTAACATAAAAATGAATAAAATTATGCCCCAACATGCTTGTCAGCATATTGTGTTAATTGTACCTGGCTCACAAGTATAATTACTTTATGTACAGTGCTGTTTTGAGCATTTTTTTATATTATTTTAATACTGTAGGTCTTCCCTTTGTGCATTTTTGAAAATGATTACAGACACACCCATTATTTTTGCTTGCCATTTCCACTATTATATTGTGGAAATTAAGGACATACGATTTGTCTTCGGTGGTGTAATACAATATAGTTTTTTTATATCTAAAAATGTATTAGCCAATAATCAATGACCACATTTCAACAAGTAAAAAATACATTGCAGTGTTATTTACTTAGACTAAATATAGAATTACTCAATTTTCAAGTTAGGACACTGTACGTTGAAATGCTGTATTGTGTAACAACTCACAGAAAATCTTTCATTAAAAACTAACTATATACAATTTCTAAAAGTTTCACTATATGACTTCTACACCCTGACTGCAATGTGCACTTACATGTGTGTATGTTTGTTTTTTTTCCTCCACAGGAAAATCCTTATATGTGCAACAATGAATGTGATGCCTCCACTGAGGAACTGGCTCATCCCCCAGAGCTGATGTTTGACTTTGAGGGTCGCAACCCCACAACATTTTGGCAATCCACCTCATGGAAGAAGTACCCGAAGCCCCTGCAGGTCAACATCACGCTGTCGTGGAACAAGACCATTGAGTTGACTGATGACATCATACTTACCTTTGAGTCAGGGCGGCCGGAGCAGATGGTCCTGGAAAAGTCGCTGGACTACGGCCGGACCTGGACTCCGTACCAGTTCTACGCCACTGACTGCCTGGACGCCTTCACCATGGAACCCAAAACAGTGAATGACCTCACCCAGCGCACCCTGCTGGATATCATCTGCACTGAGGACTACTCCCGAGGCTATGTGTGGAAAAATGACAAGACCGTACGTTTTGAGATAAAGGACCGATTTGCTCTGTTTGCTGGGCCTCGACTACACAACATGGCCTCATTGTACGGCCAGCTGGATACCACCAAGAACCTGAGGGATTTCTTCACCATCACTGATCTGAGGATTAGGCTGCTGAAGCCAGCCACTGGAGCCACCATGGTGGATGAGTACAACTTGTCCAGATACTTCTATGCCATCTCTGACATTAAGGTGCAGGGCAGGTAAGACCCTCTTGTATTCGTTATTATTGTACCGTTTGTATTGAACGAAATCAAGACTTGAGGTTTGGTTCCTTCACCTGGCTTTTACTGTAATGCGGTTTTGGTGGATTTTAATTTTTATGTTCTTAAACGAGAGAATACTACTGCAGCATATTGCTGGTTTCAGCTTTGGGGCTTTCACTACATGCTTTCTCTAGTATTCCAGTGTTTTGCCAGCAACTTAATGGAGCCTGGATGCCATATGTCTTTTTCACTGACCACAGAACTGCAAAATTTGTGCATGTTAAAACGGACCTAAATACACTACCTCTTCAAACAGCAGGAGCTCTGTGATGATGTGGCAAAGCACCTCAATTTCCATCCTTGTCCTCAGTAATGAGTAATGCCAGATTGATATTTATAAAATAATAGATTCATTCAATTGATAGTTTGATTATTACTATCACACATCTTCAGTATAAACCAGGAGCCACAGTCTACAGATTTCTTTTCCCCAAACAAAGACACCACACACTAACTAGCACTCATTCAAGTAGAGGGATGGAATTCATCAGTGCTATCACCTGGAGAGGTGCAGTAGGAATGAAAACCTGTACACTGTTTCTCCATGGTACACAGTCAGGCACCCCTGATAAACAAACTTTACTTTTGGTTTTGGCACCAATACATCAATATACAAAATCCAACATTCTCTTTCTAGTATCCCATTATTCAGATGCTACACAGATACATGAAATGCTGCTGATCATGATTTTATAAAGTACCATCAACTCCCACTGTCCAAATATGAATGGAATCAGTGAATGTGTTTGAAGCTTGCTAACTATGAGACTAACAGGTGGTTGGATTTGCAAAATGCAATCAAAGAAACTTCAGCGCCTCCTTTGCTCTAAGTCTTTCATAATTTGGATGCTCAGTGTTTCCAACTGTTAACTGTTAAGCCCAAAATTCTGTTTCTGAAATGAGTCTGAATTAGGAAAAGGAGCAGTTTTTAGTACAGACTGAATATTAGTCTCCTAAATTACTTATTATAGCTCTACCTTGACAAGGAAAGAGGGCTGAGATTGCCTCCTGTGAGCCGTGGTAAGGCAAGAGTTTTAATGCATGTCCCTACATTTTTTATTGCAGGCACACATCTAGATTCCACAGTCATCTTGTATTTTCATAATATTACCATCACTGGTTCAGGTGGCATATACATTCAGTAAAGTTGTACTTTGGTTAAATGTTGTGCTTCAAAATGTTATTGTCTCTTCAATTTATTAGCATTGATTTTGACTATGACTTCTGATGACTATGAACATTTTGTAAGTACACATGGTTTCCTTACTGTTAATTAACTGTTAGTGTGGCTAAAAAGATTGTAAACAGAATCAAATATGATAAAATAAAACAAACTGAAACTAAACTTAAACAGCTATATGTATTGGGTCAGGACATTATAGAAATGTGTAATCAATTCAGTATAAATAAATCAATAAGACTTTAGTTTAATTAAAACTGCATTAAGAGGTTTTGCGGGGAGGGGGGGCCACTTTGGGGCAGCAGAATGCACGTGGACATATTACCACATTATAGGTTCCCTACAGCAAACTTGTTAGCAAACTAGCGAGAGGTGTTTCTGGCCATCTAACTGACAAAAGTCCAAATTTCACACTCCTTCTAGCTCTGGTCTGGTCACTGCCAACTCATGAGAGGAAAATGTGACTTTCAAGCTGCTAATTGCTGCCTGCCATTTGTTGGTAAACAGATAGTATACACTGGCTTTGTCATTTTTCACTGAAAACAAGAGTGATGAAAGCATGTGTTTGCAGTTCATGGTTTACCAATTTTTCAAAATTTAAAGCTACATTTTTAGTAAAATTAAAGGCTTTCGGGGCACATCATTAACGCAGCTTGCAATGTTGCATTGTATAATATGAGTCATTAGAATGCCTCTGCGATTTTCAGGGAAATGGAAACATTGTCGTTTCATGACGCATGGAAATGGCCCACATGATGGTTGTAAAGCCTCTACAGCTGCTCTCCAAATGGGACCTGTGTTGCTTGCTGCAGTTGGTTTATATGAGGATAACTGGGTTGGTAATGACCCATCAGATGGGCCCTAGGTGAATTGAAACAGTTAGTCCCTAATTAGAATTCAGTCGACTTCAGTGGTAGATTAGAACCATTAGCACATTGGCTAATTGGTAGGAGACTAATCTTGTAATTAAGAGCATTTGCAGCTGATTAAATGGTAATCATCAGGGACACATCAGGGAAATGTGGAGACATTCAGAATTGCCAAGCTGTGCTTCCAAATTTAGCCTTGCCCTCTTTAAAAATGAATAGATTTATGGTTTAATCTGTGAAGTTTTCTCTCTGAGCAAGCTACAGTTTTTGCTTTAAATAACTCACATTTTTGGAGATATCTAGTATTTTTTTAATAACTTCTGACTGCTGGCTGCAAAATCTGAACAAATCAGTTGCTGAGCATGAGCTATCATAACTGGCAAAACATTTGACAACATTTCATGACGCTTGACATCTTTGATCACATGCCACAGCAAGTTTTTCATAATGGTTTCATGCAGTATTCCCAGTTCAGCCCTATCAGAGAGATATACATGTTCTGCAGTCAGACACTCTTCCAATAAATTCATACTCATACTGTAAACTTGAATTGATGAGTTCTAAATTGCAGGACCTGCTACTCAGCACAGAATAGCACCTCCCACAGATATCTTATTTTGCCATTCATTAGAAAGAGTAGCAAAAGGTTGGATGGGGGAAAAATAAGCTATTTTGCCCAATTTTCCCTCCTGCCCCTGGGCATCAAATTCAATTTTCCACCAAAAGTTTGCAGTGAGAAAGAAAAGAAAATAAACATACGATTTCTGTCCAGAGGTGGATCAGTAACTCACTTGAAAGAGGGTGATGGAGGCGAGTGGGGAGAGACTGATTAGAGCTTCCACCAACCTCACCAGCCTTCTGGCTACAACCAAATGTGAACGCCTTATCACCGAATGGCCATCCTGTCTGAGAATTCCCAGAATACTCCATAAACGCTGATAAACTCACACACAGCTGAATATCTGCAGTGTCAGGTAACCCGTGGATATGTTTGTGAATGTCAGGGCTCTGAACTAATACTGGCATGCTGGATAAATGTCAAATTACATTTTTACAATGATCTGTGAATGGGTTAACCTACTTTTTACATTTTAGAAATGACAAAAATGATATGAAGTTACTGTATTTCCACAACCAGATTTTAAACAACAGCACCAGGGTGGTTGTAGCTACCTGTGGGTTCACATTGTTGGGTTGTCTACCGAAACCTATGGTCTCTGTGCAGCTGCATTTAACTACTCCTCTATAGAGAACCAAAGTGAAACTGGAACTTCCAGGTTGTGTTCATGAAGAAAAAAAAAAACCCCATTAAAGATCCACTGAGATTTCTAGTCTGTCTACTAAAAATCTAGCCTTGGTACACAGCCATTTTCAATAGTATGCCGTGAGTTTTGCTACATTTGCTTACATAACAATGATATGTTTCTTTAAACCGACTTATTATTGACATTAACTTAATATTTCTAACCCTAATACCTAACCCTTTACCGGGCTTTAATGAACACCATTTCCCAGAAGCCTAAGCCCATCGTGGCTGAAACATCACCAGCTGATGCCAGTCGACTGGTGGAAGAATTGAACAAAAGTCCCAAGTCGAGACAGATGTAACTTTTAGACATGTTCTTTTGTTGTTTACAATGTAAAATGCTGAGAGAGGTGAGACTAAAATTATAAACACAGTTAACGCTGTGCTACTTGGACTGCTGAAGTCCAGAACAGTCTAGGAAATATAATATGTGTACCACAGTGCTGCAAAGCGATCATGGGAACTATGGTTTTTCTGATGCTAATAAAATAAATCATTAATTAAATTTGTTAAAATCACAAAGGTCTAATTTTCAGTAGTAAGTGTTACAGTAATTAATGGCTTATCTTAAACTGTGAAACAAAAGAAAAAGCTAGTGGAGCAGGGTCTAACTGGGTGTGACGCCATGACCATGGCTCTCTACAGGACATAAAACACACACAGAACCAAATTTATCAAGGCAAAAACCATGTCAGGGACAGGGGAAGACAGTCATGTCCCCTAATCAATTAGCTGCTGTGCCTGAACCTTAACAAAATGACTGTAACCATGTGTTTATAATTGTTTCCATGAGCAGGCAGGGTTCAACATAACACCGGTGTACCTGCTAAAGGAACTGTTATGGAATTATTGTTACCATAATGAGAAAGATCCAGTTATTGTGCTGCTATAATGGGGCTGTGGGTCATATTTAAATGGACAAGCGACATACTGTCGTTTGGGTTGGTGGACTTGTTGGGTTCACTGGTAGGTTTGCACAAGTTGTGTGTGCAAATCTTTAATGAAAGAGCCTCATTATCTCCAGACTCTTGGAAGTTGTTGCAATAAATTCCAATCCTAAGTGCCTGAGGCAGGCTGAAGCAAAGCAGGCACCAATAAAAGAAAATAATGTTTCATTCAAAAATAAAACCTGGGAGGCTTCAGATGAGACACACAGCAAGACAAAAGAACCAGAGTAAATTCTTATAATAATCAAAGAATTGTCATAGAACACAGGTTTATAACGCTGGCTTTACAATACTCAGAATCACATTGCACTGAAAATACCATGACAAATCTTCCATTAAATTGATCTTGAATGATAAAAATTGATGGGTAAAAGGCGGCATAAGGAAAAGGTATACGGGGGATATTTTTACCCTCTCCTGAGCCGTCAGAGTGTGGCGGGGGGCTAGCCGTGGTATTGATTCCTAATGTTATTCCACATCAGCAGAAAACAAAAACCTTGAACCATGCAGGCTGTCCCACCTTTCAGATCTCCTTCTCCATCGTTCCTCACTTATTGATCAGATGTCTGCTTGTTAATTAAGACATGACCGCTACCGGCTGGTTGCGCGGTCAGAGCTGCACATCTGCAGGGCTG